CCCGCGTTCCTCCCCGGGCCTCGCCGGGGCCCTAGCGCCGACCGAGCACCCGTGGGCTCAAGGGGCGGGGCCTGCGGACCTAAGGGGCGGGGTTTGTGTGATGAAGCTTGGCTTGTCCCAGAGTCTCACCTTCCAGTAAACGGGTGTCCAGCCCAACAGCTGGTGGGGAACCTGGCAAACGCCCTGCGCCCAGGAGGTGCAGGCCGCTCCAGCCTTGTGGGAGTGTTAACTCTGAAACTGAATGATGGTGATTTGATTATCAACTCCAGCTGTCCCCCTGCCAGTTGTTACAGCAGGAACAGCGAATCGTGCTTGTCCCAGAGTCTCACCTTCCAGTAAACGGGTGTCCAGCCCAACAGCTGGTGGGGAACCTGGCAAACGCCCTGCGCCCAGGAGGTGCAGGCCGCTCCAGCCTTGTGGGAGTGTTAACTCTGAAACTGAATGATGGTGATTTGATTATCAACTCCAGCTGTCCCCCTGCCAGTTGTTACAGCAGGAACAGCGAATCGTGCTCATGACTCCCCTGACTTTGTGGGCTTCTGAAGTCCCAGCTGACCCTTACTCCCCCTCCAAAATCTCCCGCTTCCAACACACTGCCCAGCTCTCTTCCATGTGCGTGACATCCCTGTAAGTGCGCAGGCCCTGACTTGTAGCCTAATAGATAATGCACCAGTCCTGCAGTAGGATATGCTAGCATAGAATCCTAGAATACTAGGACTGGAAGGGACCTCAAGAAGTCATCGAGTCCAGTCCCCTGCCCTCACGGCAGGACCAAATACTGTCTAGACCATCCCTGATAGACATTTATCTAAGCTACTCTTAAACATCTCCAAAGATGGAGATTCCACAACCTCCCTGGGCAATAGGCACATGGGGCTGCAGGAGTGGAGCTTACTTCAGGATAGGGGGCTAACTAGAGGCCTCAATACATCAGGTGCGGCACGTGACCCTAAGCAGACTAGGTGGTCGCCTAGGGCACCGCCAGCCCGGGGCACCCCGTGATTACGTCACGACCACTGACAGCCTGCTACAGCCGGCCTCAAACCGCTCCTGCAATACAGTGACATAAGATGACTTGTATGAAGAGAACAAAGCAGAGAGAACAGAAAGTGCAGCACCAAGGAGGCGGAGGCTGCTCATCCAGGCCCAGCAGAGCAGCAAGCAGAGCCAGACTGTCTCCAGTGCAACGCAGAGCATATTAGCAAACCGGGCTGGGGCAAAGAGCTCTGGGGGGAGAGGAGAGAAGGTGCTTGCAGGACTGGGTGCATTGGTAGGGGGAGCAGTCAGAACTGCATGCTAAATGCCACGTATCCTATGCGGATGGAGCCCGCTAAGGAGGTGTCTGGCCCTGATTAGCCTCAGGAGCTGAACTGAACCAATATGGACTGCTGCACATTCCTGCCCCTTCTCTGGCATCCCCAGCAGTTGCTGGGCATTTTCATCTCAGTTCATCAGGTTTATAGCATCTCATCTGGGAAGAAAAGCTCCTAATGGTGCAGAACTGGCTGCCTGGGTCAGTTCTAGAGGCTCTTACATCACTGTCATCTGTGGTGTCATCGTTAAGCTTCAGCATTAACAGTTTAATTATTTAACAATTTAGCAGGAACAGCCAGCTACTCCTGGGCCAGCTAGCTCACGGAACTTGAGCATGGCACATGCATATGCAGGAATCACTTCTGCTAATATGGGAATGCGGCCACCTCTGGGGTGGAACACAGCTGTTGCTGAACAGCACACAGCAAATCTATAAAGCCTTGGGACAGGCAGAAGGGAATACCATGTCCCATTGAACATCAGGGGTGGGGGGGGCAGTTGGGGAAGTAGAATGCAGCTCCCTAATTGGAGGTTGGCTGGCACAGCCCCATTTATACCTGTCCTCCTGTGAACAGCCCTGTGGGTCTCTAGCGAGCCCCGACGTTTCTAACAGAGGTCACTTCAATATCTAAGAGCACCACAGTCGGCCTTGGGAGGGACGCCGTGGCAAGCGCCTGCCCTGTGCAGTCAGGGTGACGTGCCATACCAGTGTGCTCCCAAAGACAGAGCCTGGCAGGGTCGCTCGCTCTGCCTATGGGACTCACCTGTCCAACGGTGGGATCGCGAGTCTTCCAACCCCCTCCAAGCGCCTCCCCGCAGGCAGCTCCTGGTGCAGCAGCGCTCTCAGTCCTCGGCCATCGTCTCCTCGAGCGTCAGAGACCCGGCAAACTGCCCTGCTGCCCACAGACCTTCCGACCAAGCAGTGGGTCCAGTG